TTAAAAATATTTTATTTTTATAACTTTTAATTTATATTTCATTTTCTTTATGCAGGCATACTGCTTGAAATAAATGAATTTACTTTATGTAGTGTTGTCGTAATATTAATATCTATTTTTTGATTTGTATTGAATTAATCTTATTATACTGCTAGTTATTTATATATTTTTGAATTGGGCTACGTTAATTTGTAAAAGTTACGAATGAAATGTCATTAGTTGTATTTATGCAGTGTTGCGGTAAATATTTAAAAATTTTAATTATGGTATGGAACCGAACCGAACCCGAACGGTTCCATAATTATATTTGGACCCGACGGTTCCATTTATTAAATACCCGAAATTTTAGGTCGGTTCGGTTCTCTTCAGAATCGAATCGAACCGACTCATGGACAACCCTAAATTCTTGTCTCACGGGAGGTCTTCTTGGTCTAATTTGCTTACAAGAAATTGGTTTTTTGCGAACATAAGCACGATAATGAGTCAACTACTTCAAGTATTTAATAAACAATCATTATAATACAAATTGTTTTAAGATCATGTTGTTCCAATTGGGCTACCTCACTATTCATATGGGCTGGCTGATGAGGTCCAATATTGTTTAAATCGGGTTTTGATCCAATTACCTAAACCGTGTTTGATGAAGACGCGACTTTATCAATATTGTTTCTGATTTATCTTAGCCCCTACACCTGGCCTCTCTATGGCCATTGATCTCGATCTGAATCATTATGGCCTAGCAAGTCTCCAGATTATTCCAACTAGTGTTTGGCTATGCTACCTATTCTCATCAAAATGAAGGCAAACTTGAACTCGGATCCCTAAGATGTTTTTTTCTGGGTTATGGAGAAGAGATTATGGGATATAGACTTTTGTTAAAAAAAAAATTCAGGATGGGTTCAAAGTTATTATAAGCAAAAATTTCATCTTCAATGAAAATCATTTTCCCTGTAATGTTTCTTCAAATCAGAAATCAGTTGAAACTTCACCCGTTAAAGATGAATGTGAGAATGTAGATTAATCTCAATATATTGCTCTTTCTGATTATCAATTAACCATCGATAGTGGTAGAAGGAATAGATTTTTTCTCTACCAGAATCAGCAGTGATGAATTTGGGACCCTCTAGTCTGCCCTAGAATCAATTAACTCGGAACCTACTACTTTTGAAGAAGCTATTAACTATCAAGAATTTAAACTGTGGATGGAAGTGATGAAGGAAGAAGTGAATTCTCTATTTAAAAATAATACATGAATTTTGGTTAATAAGCCTAAAAATCAAAAGATAGTTAACTGCAAATAGCTTTACAAAATTAAATAGGGTGAATCTGGTGTTGAATGTAAAAGATATAAGGCCACACTTGTGGCTAAATGGTTTACACAAAGAGAA